CCAGTGCCTCTGGAGCGGACAATCAGATATATTCGCAACAGTTAGGATGCTGTTTGAGCTCCCCCGAATTCTAGACATCAGTGATGCAGCTCTTTTTCGCATTATGGCTTCAACTCCATCTACCCGCGCTGCTGCAAACATCTCTGATGCGCTACAGAACCGAGGGAGTACCAATATTTATTTAATAAAAACAATATTTATTTATTACATATATATTCAAATTCAAATTCAAAATATCTTTATCATGCAGGATCTATTACAGACTCTTATGATATGTCAAATCTACCGTCAGTACGGAATGATTTCGAGATGAGAAGAACTGACAAGAAACTCATCTCGTAATTTTTTTTTTTAATAATTTTCGTACATGTTCTTAATAATACAGATTCGTTTAAATTCAAATTTGGGATTTATTTAAATTGAAATATACATTAGCATGTGCATTTTTGTAGCATTTTTAGAGCTTGTATTATGGTACTAGACAGCTGATACAAATACATACTTAGATACTTTTAGATACATATATAACTAACATAGAAAACACCCAGACCGATAATGTCATACTCATGAATAATAGAATCGAACCTGCTACAGTCGGAAGTAAAATAGCATGCTAAACCGCTAGACCACCAAGATATGCATTGACCCGCTAAAATCTAAGAGCACAGCCTATTCTCATTTAACATGAATATGTACTACTTAAGAATATAATTGTGCTAATGACAGAATAAGTTTCACGCTAAGATTTTTTATAATCATACAAACAAGTTCAAGTTGACCATTACCATATTTAGGGCGATTATCGAAGCGTGCCGTAAATTTGTATGCCATCAGCAACCGACATAAATCTGTGTTATGAGGTACTTTATTAATACTTTTGTAGTTTAACAATTGTTTAGTGTCTGCAATTTAATAATTGTTTAGTGTTTAATCATTTTTTAGTGTGTTTGCAATTTGGAATCATTAATTAGTTTATTTGACGACCTCTGTGGTCTAACGGTTTAGCACACCGCTTTACGTCCGATGGTCGCAGGTTCGATTCCTTGCACGGCACAAACATTTGTATTCATGAGTATGATTGTTTGTATCGGTCTGGGTTGTTTTCTATGTATAATATGTATGTATTTACGAAAAAAAAATATATGTACTTGTATCAGTTATCTAGTACCCGTAACACAAGCTTTAGCTAGCTTATATTGGGACTAGATGGCGCTGTGTGAATTGTCCTGAGATTATTTATTGGACACTGTATATGGTTTCAGAATATAATATGATAGATTTGTATTTATTATTTTGACTCTAATGAATTCTGTATGCACAAAGTCTGTGTTCACACAGTTTAATAATTGTTTAGTGTCTTTGCAATTTGGAATGATTAATTATTTTAAAATCATTCATTTATCATTAATTATTAAACACTGTATAAAGTTTTAGAATACATCATTCTACAGATAATTACTGGAACTATTTTACTTTTATATAATCACTCAAGTATATTTATTATTTTTACTCTAATGAATTGTTACCAATTGGTAGTTTGTATATATTTCAAATTAAAAAAGTAAATTTACGACTAAATTATTTAAAAGAACAATACGTAAGTTTATTTCCCGATCTTCTTGTGATGAGACACCTTTCCGAATGAGTGGAACATTAAAAAAATGAGTAATGACTATTCAAAACCTTAAAGCCAAGTTTATTTGAGTATAGAATATTTGTATGCTACGAATAAAGTGTGCCAATGTTAATTGACAATTAACTTTTTTTTCGGACTATTCTAATGCTGTTGGCCACACATGGCCTTTACAGCTTCACCAGACGATAGGGGACGAAAGCAGGAAAGAGACGAAAGGCCAACTCCTGCCTAACGGATACGAGTTTAGATTGAGGGCACCGCTAGTTCGAACCTCGGCTCAGGCTGTCGTACTCTCGATCACTATGAGTAATAAGTACATATATGGGGACTAGATAGCCCGAAGAATTGCGAAACTGAAATGGAATTGCAGGGCACATAACTCGTAGAAAGATGACCGTTTGGGCAGTAAAGTCCTCGAGTGGCGACCGTGGATCGGAAGACGCAGCGTGGGAAAACCTCCAGCAAGGTGGACCGACGATCTGGTCAAGATCGCTAGGCAGCGTAGGACCGATCGTCGTGGAGATCTTTGGGGGAGGCCTTTCTTCAGCTGTGGACGTCTTTCTGACTGAAATGATGATGATAGGGAGTACAATGCACGTATCTTCAAATTATTAGCTAATAAAGATATTTGAAGCTGTTAATCACACTAATGACCCTCTAAACTTACGATATAAATATTAATTCCAATACGCAATTCACTTTCACTCTCCCTTTATGTTAAGACATTATGGAATTAGAAAGCAATATGTTCACGCCGGTCGAGTTTTGGTACCAGTACATATAATAATCTACGCTCTGTTTCTTATCAATAAATCTATTGCTTTTTCTGCTTCCAATTTATAGTCCAATCATAATAATATTACTATATATAATAGTAATAACACATTGGTCGATTCATACAGCGTCATCTGGTCCCAAGGTGCGTAGAGCTTATGTTACAAGTATTACATGTGTTGCTGGCAGCTTGTCTACCATTCATTTTATAAATTTTATATTTTTTATATCTATTTTTATATGTCGCTTTTGACTAACTATTTGTTTTTGTTACCTTCTCGCTGTGAGCCCTTTTGGGAAAAATACACATTCTTACTAGTATTTAGTTTTTATTAAAATAGTAGTTGTGTTCCCGCTCCAGTAACAACATGACTTATAAATACAAATATATTTTTTTCGTAAATATATTCATATTATACATAGAAAACACCCAGACCAATAGCAATCATATTCATATAAATGTTTGTACCATGCGAGGAATCGAACTCATGACCATCAGAAATCAGACGATGTGCTAAACCGCTAGACTGTCGAGGACGTCATATTGACTGGACTATTCGCACTCATACAGATGTAAGCGATTTTTAATCAATTAAAACATTTAATTCATCAAATGTTACAAAGGTACTATCAATATAATAACTACCTGAACAATGGAAAGTAATGCTAACTGATTGTAATAGTAGATGTAACAATACATCACGTAATCAATTTTATATTTTCATTCATAAAAAAAACTTGTCACTATTTACAATTAGTAATTTTCATTCATAAGACGGCCTCAGTGCACCAGCGTTTTAGTACACCTTCCGATGGTCGCGTGTTCGATTCCTCGCATGATGGAAATATTTGTATTCATGAGAATTATTATTTGCATCCGTCTGTGTATTTACTATATATATTATTATGTATATATTTACAAAAAAAATATCTAAGTATTTATATCAGTTGTCTAGTACCCATAACACAAGCTCTACTTAGTTTAGTGTGAGGTTTTATTCATCAAGGAAAATCAAATAAGATGATTTTCGTGCTATTACTATGATCTTTATTAGTTTGGTATAGGGATGTAATTTGGTTTTATACCACTTACATGTATAAGTATCGTTTAAAAAAGTCAATAGGTCTTTTATGGGAATAGGTATAAAAATTTACAATAAGATACAAAAGGATATATTGGAATTACCCTTAAATAAATTAAAAACATCTGTTAAATCATATTTACTGAGCAATCCCTATTACTCACTAAACGATTACTTGAATGACGAGCGTGCATGGCAATAGTTGTTCATGCACTGGATTTTCATTTAATGTTAGACATAGACACCTATATAAATATACATTGTAATTAAACTGGCTTTTAAAACAAAAGTAATTCAATTGAGTTTCTTGCCAGTTCTTCTCAATTGGATCTATATACCGAACTGGATTTTAGGGGAAAAAAAATATAATGTAAAAATTTGACGTTCATAAGCGGCTAAAATGTCGTTATATATTAATTATATATTAATTTCAGTTAATTATAATCAACATACTGTCATATTTATGTCATCTAGCAACATAATTATATTTTGCTGTAAAATAAAGTATAAATCATAAACATTAACAATAGCACCTTCCTGTGTGTTTGTTCGCAAAATCGTTCGAGTTACGTTTGTTCCAGCTCAAGAACAATGTGAGCAATTTATTCTCGTTATATTTCCTGCGAGTGTGAAAGTGTCATTATTGTGTTTAGGATGGGAAGTATATTTTAGTGTTCGTTCATTTAGTACACCGGATCATATTTTTATTTATTTTTCGTACTTCCTAAAGTGAGTATATAAATTATTCACATAATATATATCCCAAGAGCCCACGACGGCCAGACATCCGTCATATTAGTAAACGTGAAAGTTCTTGTATGTGTGTCCCCAACACAGGTAAGAACGATCCCCAAACATGAAACCTGGATCGTGGTTCCTTTGGCAGGTAACAGGTAACAACGGTGTTAATTTTATATATATTAGTGGTATTCGGTGGTAATAATTTCGTCACCTTTTCTTCACCCCGCGTTAAAGTCGCTGGTTCAGGGCGTTTACAAATATACCTCTGCCGATGCCTATTATCTAATCACTTTTGTGTACACGAAATAATAAATAAAATATAAAATTGTCCCTATACTCACCCCAAATACACCAAAAATCCGCCAATTTGCACCAAGTTTCTAATATGACCGCCGTAACCGCTGTTCGTTCCCGCGATCGAATGTGTCACTGGTGTTGCGCGCCGCGTCCGCCAGAGGGCAGGATTTTTTCATATCCCCAACATTAAGACTTTATAGGGACGTATATATACATTTATAGTGTAGGTGTGTTGTGGTATGTTGAAGGTGTAGTGCCGCGAAAAATGACAATAATTGCAGGAAAATTACACATCCCCCCGCCCGAGAAAGGCTGATTGCCTTTATCAAAACAAAAAGTAAATAAATACAGAAAAACAAAAATTATAAAATTATATAGACCGCTCATGTACAGAATTCGCTAAAAATACCGCAAGAAAACTAACATAATAAGTTTTTTAAAAAATAATGAAATAAATAAATATGAAACCATTAGTTAGTGGGGAGTCTACAAATCTTCACAACCGGACGAGTTATAGTGCCTGTTGAAGTGATAAGCCTTACCACTCGTACTACACCATCTTTACCCGGCAACAATTCTACAATCCTGCCCAATCTCCACTTTAAAGGAGGTAAATTTTCCTCTTTAATTAGGACCAAGTCATCCACCTTAGGAGGATCTATAGGAGACGTCCATTTATTCCGCATTTGAAGAGAATGGAGGTACCGCTCACTCCATTTTCTCCAGAATCTCTGTGAAAGAGCCTGAATTAGATTGTACCGACTCAACCGTGAGTTTGGGATGTCTTCAAAATTATATTCCGGTACAGATAATAACGAGCGTCCGATTAAAAAATGCGCAGGTGTTAACACCTCCAAATCTTGGGGATCCTGCGTCAGAGGACACAACGGGCGACAATTGAGGACGGCTTCAACTTTAGTGAATATAGTTACTAGCTCCTCAAATGTCAATATCTGGTCACCGATGACTCTCCGCAATAAAGTCTTCGCCGCCTTTACAGTTGCCTCAAAAAGACCGCCAAAATGAGGCGCTGCAGGTGCATTAAAACGCCAGGTAATATCGCGTTTACCTGCGCTACTACTAAGTTGCGATTGTACTTCCCGAGAAGCTAAATACCTTTGTACCTCATCTAAGTGTCGATTGGTACCTACATAGTTAGTGCCGTTATCTGAACGAATCACACTAGGTAGTCCGCGTCGAGACGTAAATCTCGTTAGAGCCGCAAGAAAACCCTCTGTCGAGAGGTCCGTAACACATTCAAGATGAACGCACTTAGTCGAAGAACAAATGAAAACACAAAGATATGCTTTCAATGGTTTTGCGTTACGTAAACGAGAAGATTTTATTATAAATGGTCCGGCAAAATCCGTTTGCACGGTATGAAAAACTCCAGTAGCAACTACTCTATCCGTAGGTAAGGCAGACATTAATGGTTCTGTAGGTTTAGCCTTTGTCCGAAAACAAGAAATACATTTAAAAATTCTGGTACGTATAGCTTGTCGTGCCGAAATGATCCAAAATTGAGTCTGTAAAATGGCTTGCAAGGCAGTCGATCCCGCATGACAGTGAATTTTATGATGATGATCTATAATTAAACTCGTTAATGGATGATCCTTTGGCAAAAGAACTGGATGCTTTCGATTATATGACAAATCGGAATGATTTAAGCGTCCTCCGACACGCAAAAGGCCCTCCCCGCAAATAAAAGGCATAAGCCGCCTTAAACGTAAAGAACAAAAACTACTCCGCTTGAGGCAACTTAAATCATCCGCAAACTCCGCAATTTGGACTAGTTTTATCAACCGCAGTAAAACCGATTGTCGTTCTTTTGTTGTCAAAACTCCGGTAACCTTATGGTTTGGATTTTTACAATTACTAAAAAACCTATAACAATACGCCACTACCGCTAACAGCATATTCAAAGAACTAAACCGCAAAAAAATAGGATCTCTCTTGACCATCACCGCGTGAACCTTCACCACCGTCTTTCGAATACCAGGTAAGTCATACTCAGTTTTATTATTTTCACTCAAAGGCCAGGTATCTGCATGGCCTTGAAGCCAGGAGGGGCCCCACCACAATTTGTGCTCGAGCAGTTCCGAAGCTCGACAACCACGACTTGCTATGTCGGCAGGGTTCAGTTCTGAGGGTACGTGTCGCCACGTTATATTCAAACCGCAATTAATAATTTGTGAGACTCTGTTTCCTTCAAATGTCTGTAAAAGATGGGGTGATATCCGCAACCAAGAAAGTACGATAGTACTATCAGACCAGCACACAACATCCTCAATGTTCACATGCTCGGTAATTGAATCCACCACGTACTTTACAAGCCGCACAAGTAAAGCTGCTCCGCAAAGCTCCAGTTTCGGAATAGTAAGCCTTGACTTTACAGGTGAAACCCGTGATTTAGCCATCATTAAAACGATCTTAACTTGTCCGCCTTTTCCCACTGTTCTCAAATAAACAGCAGCCCCATATCCAAGTTCAGACGCATCCGCAAAACCATGTATAGAACACGTTCCAGAGTTTCCCAATGCAAAGCGTTCCATTTTAAGATTTTCAATCATAGGCAGATTGTTTAAAATACCTTGCCATTCCGCAACAACGTCTGCCGGAGGTTTGTCATCCCATGACAACTTTAACAACCATAGACGTTGCATTAAAATCTTTCCCTGAAAAATTACAGGGGAGATCCAACCCAATGGGTCAAAGGTCCGCGCTAATGTCGATAAGATCGATCGTTTTGTACAAATTTCCATATCATTAAATCTGGTATGGTAAGAAAAACTGTCACTACTTGGATCCCATTGTATTCCCAATAGCTTAATGAAGCTAGGCCCATCCGCGTTATCTTTAAAAATTCGAGGATTCTCCAAATGTTCCGCTGGAATGTCTTTTAACAAATCCGTAGTATTTGACGTCCATTTACTGAGTTCAAATCCGCCAGACTTCAGTAAATTCACTACGTCCCGCTTAAGACTTTGAGTCTCCTCCAGGGTATCCGCACCGCCCAAAATATCGTCCATATAAACTGAAGACCGGAGAAGACGCGCTGCCGCCGGAAATCGCCTTTCTTCGTCATCCGCTAATTGTCTCAACGTCCGTATTGCGAGATAAGGACTAGACTTCATACCATACGTTACTGTGTTCAATTCATACAGTTGAAGGGGCATATCAGGAGACTCCCTCCAGAAGATGAGTTGATGTGCACGATCTTTCGGAGTAATTAAAATCTGTCGGAACATCATTCGGATGTCCGTAGTGAATACATATTTATGTAGTCTAAATCTGCAAATGATCTCCATAATATCACGTTGTAACTTTGGTCCAGCATGTAAACAGTCATTAAGACTTACTCCGTTGCTAGTCTTGCCGCTAGCATCAAATACGACTCTTATATTATCTGAATCTGTTTTAAAGATTCCATGGTGACATATAATATAACAACCGGAATCATAGTCTTCTGGTTTTCCGACACACAGTGACATATGTCCCTTTTCCGCATATTCCCGCATAAAATCTACATATTTTCTCCGCAGCGACTCATTTAACTGCAGTTTTCGTTCCATTGTGAAAAAACGCCTTTTAGCCAATAAAACTGAATCTCCAAGAGACGGCCTGTTCGATAAAAAAGGTAAGTGTACGACATACCTTCCGCTCTCGTCCCGCTGATGAGTAGTAACAAACATAGACTCGCATTCCATATCCTTAGGATCTTCCACTACGCTAGGAATATCTTCCACCTCCCAAAATCGCTCCAAAATGCTATCGGTTGAAATATTACAGCAAAAAGTTTGCAAAAAATGAGTCTCCTGAGAAGCTGGTTCCGCAACCGGACAAATAACAGGCCCAGTCAACACATGCCCGAACACCGTATTCATGGCACGAGGTAAATTATCATGTATCTTTATAGTACCATCCCCCATATAAATATCTGCAATAAGATCCGCACCAATTAAAATATCAATTTCCCGACTGATATAAAATTGTTCATCAGCAAGAAGTATACCTCTATAACTTTCCGCTAAATGAGGAGATAAGGAAAAACCTGGCAAATTTCGCGGGATCTTATTCAACACTGTAGCTGCAGTGTAAAGAACAGGTAGATCTGTGTACCTAGGCATTATATTTAAATTAACTACTCCCTTGCAGCCAGTTACAGGAATACCACTCAGTCCCGTGACTGATATAACATTAGACCTCAACCGCTTTAAGCCCAGTCTGTTGGCACAATGTTCCGAAATAAAGGTACCCTGACTGCCGCCATCTAGTAATGCACGTGCCTCCTGGTAATAACCGTGTTTATCCAGTACTCGTATGATAGCCGTTGACAGTAATACCGTCCGTTGATAAGTACCAGTGGTCTGTGATGCCATTCCTCCAAACACCTCATTGCTGCCTGTACTTGCCGATGAAACCCTAGCTGTAGGAGCCGTCTCCTGAGGTGGATGTTCCGTAGCATCCGTCTTGCTTGGGACATTATTAGTAGATAAACGGGGTTGACGTTCCCGTGACCCCGCAGGTATGTCAAAATGTAATAAGGAATGATGTTTAGGTGAATTGCATTTATAACAATTTCGATTATATTGGCAATTAGCAATGTTATGACTATTAAGGCATCGAAAGCATAAGTTAGTGGATATTACGTGTCGCTTTCGGATGGTAGGCTTTAAACTCAAAAACTTCTCGCACTTAGCGATGAAGTGACCGCTCTTTCCGCAGTATTTACATACCGAGCTAACTTCATTGTGAACTACCGAATGTACAGCCCGTACCGCTGGAGCTGACGTTCTACGCCGCATATGAGCACTGGAATCAGGATCCGCACTAGATTCCAATTTACGAATCTCACCTTCTAAAAATTTCAATAAATCTTCAAAGGCAGGTAGTTCCTTTTCATCAAACTTATTTTCAAAATCCCTTTTTAAGTTACTATCTAATTTTTGAAAATTTATGTAAAATAATATATAAGACCACGAATCTACTGGAAAATTCATCTTTTCTAAAGCCTTCGTATTTTCGAGCAAAGTATTCACAAACAATTTTAGTCCACTCAAATTTTTATATGTGACGGGCGCCGCGCTTAATAAATTGTGTAATAATTTATCCGCTAACAAACGTTTATTATTATAACGTGCCTTAAGTAATTCTAATGCAATGGAGTAATTATCACCGACAATAGATAAATGCTGAATTAATGTTTTTGGTTCTCCTACTAAAGAACTAGATAAATAATACAATTTTTCAGTATTAGTTAATGTTACATCTTGATCAATCAATGATTGAAAAAGTTCCATGAAGGAATTAAATTCCTGTAATTTCCCTGAAAATGAGGGCAGCGCTAACCTAGGTAAAATCACTTTAGACTTGAGATTAGTGTCGGTCTTTATATTGTCACCACAGTAATCCGCTTTAGTTTCAAGAGATAACTCAATATATCGCCGCTTTATAAAATAATACTTCTTATTATATGTCTCAAAGACCGTCTTAAGTTTCTCTAACTCCGATTCATCCGCCTTGAGTTGCATCTCCGAATGCATAGAATCAAATTCTTGATAATTATTTTCTAAGTCCGCATACCTAACTTGAAACTCAGTCTTTTGTTCCAATGTTAACGAATCTGCCCGCACGAGATCATAAATGTAATCAATATTGTGAGTGGCTTTATCGTACCTAAATTGAATTTTCTTAACCGCCGTTGTCATTTTCGATAGTAAGTGACAAAACAAGCAAACGTAAGTAAAACAAAACCCCAATTCAAATAAAACGTAAGCAAACGCGAACTATCAATTTTGTAAAAGTACTTAATATATAATAAACTCAAGTTTAATTTACTTATAAATATTTAAAAAATAACACAAATTATACTTATACAAATACCTTCAACTGGCACTATAACTTATACTAGCCAAGTATACTGAATAATTACATAAAAAACAAAGTAAGTTATGCCTAAAATACTACAGGAATAATACTTAATTTTCCGATTCAAGTATTAAAAACTATCGCAAATATCTAACGCTCATTAATCGACAATAAACCACAAAATAGTTATTAATGTAAACTATTTCTAAAGACACCTAATTATAAAAAATAAAAATAAGTTACACTGTTTGCAAAAATTATGAAAAAAAAAAAATAAACAAAAAATTATGAATAGTATATTATACAAATACACTGAAATTTTATAACAAACTCCAAGGAATAACGTAAATAATAAAATAAACAAAAAAAAACAAAAACAGTTGTTGGGATTTGAAGTACCAACTTAATAATACGAAGTCGAACTATTGAACGCAAGGCCAATTTATGTATAGTCAAAGTAATGAAATTAGAATACTATATCTACTACCATTTAAAAATTTATTACCAAAAGTAAATAAGACCGTCTTTATTTACTTTGGATTTAAAATAAAACACATAACACAAAACTAATAACAATATAACCCCTAATATCCAGGAGACAATAATTTAACCGCAATTAAACAACAAAATATCAAATATGCCGGTGAGGTGAAGTATTTGTCATGTAAAAGTAATGAAATTGTGAAAGTATAATTATATGGGAGGGATCCAAAACATATATATACCAATGCCTAACACTGAAACATAAATATTACCGCAAATTATGTGTATAGTGTGCAAATAGTTTTTAAATTATGATAATTTTATTACGTAGGTAGGAATAACCTCAAATATTGTGTATCCGCGATTTTATGTGTTTTTCTGTAAATGATTAGAAATAAACAACGACAAAGGATAAACTCCGATCCGTCTCGAAGTGACCAATGTTAATTTTATATATATTAGTGGTATTCGGTGGTAATAATTTCGTCACCTTTTCTTCACCCCGCGTTAAAGTCGCTGGTTCAGGGCGTTTACAAATATACCTCTGCCGATGCCTATTATCTAATCACTTTTGTGTACACGAAATAATAAATAAAATATAAAATTGTCCCTATACTCACCCCAAATACACCAAAAATCCGCCAATTTGCACCAAGTTTCTAATATGACCGCCGTAACCGCTGTTCGTTCCCGCGATCGAATGTGTCACTGGTGTTGCGCGCCGCGTCCGCCAGAGGGCAGGATTTTTTCATATCCCCAACATTAAGACTTTATAGGGACGTATATATACATTTATAGTGTAGGTGTGTTGTGGTATGTTGAAGGTGTAGTGCCGCGAAAAATGACAATAATTGCAGGAAAATTACACAAACGGTGTATACAATTTCATATCAAATTCGTTATTTTAAGATGCTCCATTTTTTCACATATTGCTCGTAACAGTATTATAACTTGCGCTGCTCGTTGCCAGACCCTTAGTGTGGTTCCAACCCCCCGCCGGACCCCCCTATACTATAGCATTTTATAAATAAACTTACGTCATTTTAATAAAGCTGAACTTTATATATATTATTTAGAAAACCATTAAACTGAGTTTCCTAAATTGCCAAACAGTTATCTTGGTTCTTCATCCTACCAGACTCATTGAAACCGTATATTGGGTAATAACGGTGTATACAATTTCATATCAAATTCGTTAATTTATGAAACTCAGTTTTTTCATATATTGCTTGTAACAGTATTATAACATGCTCTGCTCATTGCCAGACACTTAGTATGGTTCCAGTACTTACAGCTATACAAACTTTCATCACCTATTTTATCCCCTTAAATACACGGGGATAAATTAAGCCGCGGGCAAAAGCTAGTTCTAACATATTGACGGCCTCAGTGGTCTAGTGGTTTAACACACCGCCTTAATTCCGATGGTCACGGGTTCGATTCCTCGCACGACACAAACATTTGTATTCATGAGTATGATTGTTTGTATCGGTCTGGGTATTTTCTATGCATTTATGAAAAAAATATATACATATCTATATATTTGTATCAGTATCTAGTACCCATAACATAAACTTTAGCTAGTTTAGCTTGGGTCTAGATGGCGCTGCGTGAATTATCCTGAGATATTTATTTATTTTCGGAAAACCAAGGCTATTTACAAACATAGTGAAAAACAAACTTAAATCAGAACATCCACTTACAGGAAACGTAATATAAAATAAATTACAGTGCTAACACGAGAGGCGTGTGTCATAAGTACTGATAAAATCATATATCAGGTAAAAAATAACAATCTACTAAATTACAATTCAAATTCAAAAATCAATTATTCATGTAGTCCATTTTAGCCGCTTATAAACGTATTTTTTTTTTAATTATGATTTTAATTTTTTCCTACCGTCCAGTTCGGTATATAGATCCAATTGAGAAGAACTGGCAAGAAACTCAATCGAATTACTTTTTTTTAAGCCAGTTATTTACAATGCATATTTATGTAGGTGTCTATGTCTAACATTAAATGAAAATCCAGTACATGAATAACTATTGCCATGCACGCTCGTCATTCAAGTAATCGTTTAGTGAGTAATAGGCTTTGCTCAGTAAATATGATTTAACAGATGTTTTGAATTTATTTAAAGGGTTTTTCCAATATATCTTTTGGTATGTTATTGTAAATTTTTAGACCTATTCCCATAAAAGACCTATTGATGTTTTCTAAACGATACTTGGGGATATAAATTAAAACATATGCTAAAATCTTAAAAAGCAAACATTTTTAAAGAACTTTTAAATGTGTTAATGATATCATAAGATCTACAATGCAACAACGGAACTCGAAGTCGCGGCTAGAAAGTACCTTCTCTTTCACCCTGATAACTAGTTTGAGAAAACAGGAAGGCAAGATTGTAGGGGAACTGTAGGCAATAAATATATGCGGGAGGACTTATTTCTCTGTTAGTTACGATTGCTCGTGGGTATAATTATAATGATTTATTATTAATTCAATGAGTTGAATAAGACTAAAAGGCAAATTAGAAACAAATAATTCAGGAAACATCGCAAAGCATAATATAAGAACTTATTATACAATAATAATAATAATCTCAGGACAATTCACACAGCGCCATCTAGACCCAAGTTAAGATAGCTATAACTTGTGTTATCAGTACTAGATAACTGATACATAGTTTTTTTTGTAAATACATACATATCATACATAGAAAATACCCAGACCGATACAAACAATCATAATCATGAATACAAATGTTTGTGTCGTGCGAGGAATCGAACCCGCGACCATCAGTAGTGAACTGGTGTGCTAAACCGCTAGACCACCGAGGCCGTCAAATAAAGTACAATTATATAATAGTTACCAGCGAGTCATATTAAATATGTTATGAGTATATATAATACTGATAGTTACCAGCGAGTCATATTAAATATGTTATGAGTATATATAATACTGATAGTTACCAGCGAGTCATATTAAATATGTTATGAGTATATATAATACTGATAGTTACCAGCGAGTCATATTAAATATGTTATGAGTATATATAATACTGATAGTTACCAGCGAGTCATATTAAATATGTTATGAGTATATATAATACTGATAGTCACCAGTGAGTCGTATTAAATATGTTATGAGTATATATAATACTGACAGTCACCAGAGAGTCGTATTAAATATGTTATGAGTATATATAATACTGATAGTTACCAGCGAGTCATATTAAATATGTTATGAGTATATATAATACTGATAGTCACCAGCGAGTCGTGTTAAATATACAGTTACAGTTATATTAAATATATTGTCGAGACAATTTTGAAAATGTCAAACTAACGATTTTAAAAGTGAAGTTTAAGAGTTTCGTCAGCACATTAAAACATTCACGTGACATTTATTTATGTTAATAATTCAATGTCTCTGTGTGTCCTTTTGAAAAGAATATTGCAAATTTGTATTTGTAACACGCATGCTTGAAGAGCTTTATTTTGCAATAGAGCAGTGTTTCTCAAACTATAAAATAAAAATCTTAGATGGACTTGTACAGACGCCGACCTCAAACACATAGTATCGCGCATTCAACCTGGCGCCCCTCTGATTGATCCCCCAATTCAAACGGGGATCGAAATTACGATGGCCTGAGCCGAGGTTCAAACCACTAGTGGTGCCCTCAGACTAAAGTCGTATCCGTCAGGCAGGAGTTGTTCCAAACCCGCGGAAGGACTGAAAGCTGAAGCCCTCCATAAGTCATTTCGCGTGTTTGGAGTGCCATCTGCACTCGCCCCCTAACGTCCAGTGAAGCTGTAAAGGCCAGCTACGGCAAACAGCATTAGAGTAGTCCGAAAAAAAATTACTAGTACGGGGTAGGGAAACCAATGGCACGCGTGCCATTGACGGCACGCGACACAATATTTTGGGCACGTCATCGATCATAATGAAGAAGAATCATTTTGAAGAACCTGGCTCATACTATTTTAACGATATTTTCACCTACCTATGCCTGCGAGTCATTATTTAAACCTATCTAATCATAGTGATGAGTTCACTATAATATGTTTAATAATCTACGGACATATCAAAGAATAACTTACATTAAAATAATGATAAGAATAAATTTTGCGATATTTTCAGTCGAGTTTCTGGAGCACATGGCAACCCCATTGCTTCTCGCTTCCTACTGGCTTGGATAACCCTCACTAGGTTTGCCAGGGCTAAAAATTTTCCCCGATTTTTGGTCAATTTATATTAGTAAGAATTGAGAATACAAATGAAATTATCTGCCTGCATGTTTGGTGTAGCGGTACGTGAATTGTCCTATATGGGACACAGTCACCTAGATACATCAAAATAATAATTGCATTTAATAATGTCTAGTAAGACAAATTCAATATTGTCTACTAGGCACTGCTGTATCTAAACTGTGTCACCCCACCTTACATTTTCCTACTTTTATTTAGTGTATAAGATAATTATTTTTATGTACACATTGTCAGTTTATTATCATCTGTAATATACATCGTCTCGACCAACAACATCTTATTATTCACCCGCAACAGTGGTGACCCCGACGTGATATACACAGCGCCATCAATTCACATAGTTACAAGTTAAGCAGAGCTTATGTTATAGCTAAATACCTGGTAGAAATATATAAATACATTTCGTTTATAAATCCAAATATATATAACTCAAAGGTGACTGACATAGTGATCTATCAACGCACAGCCCAAACCACTGGACGGATCGGGCTGAATTTGGCATGCAGGTAGATGTTATGACGTAGGCATCCGCTAAGAAAGGATATTGATTAATTCTACCCCCAAGGGGATAAAATAGGGGATGAAAGTTTGTATGAAACTTTGTCAATTTTAAACCGATCGGGCTGAGACTTTGCATGCATAAATCTACTATGACGTAGGCATTCCCTAAGAAAAAATTTTGATAAATTTCACCCCTAGGAGAATAGAATAGGGGATGAAAGTTTGCATAAATCTTCTTAGATTTTTGACTGATTGAAGTGTAATTAATTAAAAAAAATTCATAAAAATCGATCAAGCCGTTTGGGAGGAATATGGTAACTAACATTGTGACACGAGAATTTTATATATAAGATACATATACATATATGTGTATATATATTCTACTATTTCAAATGGCCATATATGGAGTGTGCAGAAAAAAATATAAAGTATAAATTAATAAAACCTTGAGAACAGTAAATAACCCGTTGTATGCACATTATGGATGTGGTGATCATGATTGCAACGGTAAGTGGTGCGCGACCACAACGCGCAAATTGTGCATCACTTAATGACGGATTAACATCATCATCTGCTTCTTCCTTATCCCATTTATTTCGGTCGGCGTAATATGTTTTTCGCTTTCATCCCTATTCGCAGTCATCTCGTTATTTACTTCCTTTCTCACCATATCATCTTTCACACAGTCCATCCATCTCTTTTTCGGCCTTCCTCTGCCCTTATAACCATCCACATTCATTTGTAACATCTTTCCTAATGACGGGTTAACGGATCTAATAATATCTGAAATCAGCCCTTAAGTCTTAACCTTACTAATACAGCCTCGGTAGTCTAGTGGTATCACACCGCCTCACTTCCGATGGTCGCGGGTTCGATTCCTCGCACGGCACAAACGTTTGTATTTTTGAGTATGATTGTTTGTATCTGATCTGGGTATTTTGTATTTGTATGTATTTACGAAAAAAATATATATCTATGTATTTGTATCAGTTATCTAGTACCCATAACACAAGCTTTAGCTAGCTTAACTTTGGTCTAGATGGCGCTGTGTGAATTGTCCTGAGATTATTATTATAAATGTAAAAGTAGGGATGTTTGTTACATTTTCACGCAAAAACTACTAAACCGATTATCATGAAATTTTGTACACATGTTCTTAGAGGTATTAGAATGAATATAGGATACTTTTTATTAAAAAAATAGACATGCGAACGAAGCCACGGTTAAAAGTTAGGAATAATATAAACGCGAAAGTTAGTTAGTATGTTTGTTACTCTTTTAAGCAAATACTACTAAACGGATTGTGATGAAACTTTACAGTAATATAGCTTATACATCAGAATCACACATACGCTATATCTTTTATTGAAATTTGCTCGCCTGTCTGTGGAATGATGGGCCTCATGAACAAGCTCAGAGTTACTCAGAGGGCAATAGAGAGTGCTATGCTCGGAGTTACTCTGCGTGATCGAATCAGAAATCAGGAGATCCGCAGAAGAACCAGAGTGGCCGACTTAGCCCGAAGAATTGCGACTCTGAAGTGGCAATGGGCAGGGCACATAGCTCGTAGGACAGGTGGTTGGGGCAGTAAAGTTCTCGAGTACCACGGACCGGAAGACGCAGCGTGGGAAGGCCTCCAGCAAGGTGGACCGACGATCTGGTCAAAATCGCTGGAAGGCATTGGATGCGAGCAGCGCCGGATCGTCGTGGAGATCTTTGGGGGAGGCCTTGGGAGATGGCTCTGTGTGAATGATGACAATTTACACAGCGCCATCTAGTATCAAATTATGCAGAGGTTTAGAGGCATTATGTTTTATGGGTACTAAATATGTAAAACAAATATTTCTATAAATGTATACATAATACAAAAATAAAACATGCAGACAGTTACAAATAATGAAATAATCATAACAAGAGAGGTATTTAAATCACCAGAGAGTTAAAAATACAAACATAAGTTTTATGGAGTCCGACCGTCGACCGTCGACCATACTAAATCTTAGTAAACTGCTAGGTCACAATTTCTCACGTTCCCATGATTCTTATATAAGACGTACATAAAGATTACTCATTGAATAATTCAATTAAAAAATACTCATATAAAATATATACATATAAATAAAATTGGGTTATCTGTTTGTAATATTGGAATAACCGTTTTTTACTACATGCATATGAATATAAATACGGTACATACACCAAAATAACATTTTTTACAATTTTTCTGTGTCTGTCTGTTTGTTCCGGCTAATCTCTGAAATAGCTGGACCGATTTTGATGGGACTTTTTTTGGCAGGTAACTGATGTAACAAGGAATAACTTAGGCTACTTTTATTTTAGAAAGACAAAGTATAATTCCACGTCGACGAAGTCGCGGGTACAGCTAGTCATTACATAGTATAAAACAAAGTCGCTGTCGCTGTCTGTACGTCCCTATATATGCTTAAATCTTTAAAACTACGCAACGGATTTTGAAGCGGTTTATTTTAGTAGATAGAATGATTCAAGAGGAAGTTTTATATGTATAATACATGTACACCCGTGCGAAGCAGGGGCGAGTAGCTAGTAAACTAATAAAGTAGAAATTAGAACATATACTTGAAATGACCAAGAGACTAATATGAATACCAGAGCATTTATATATATATAAGGAAGTTATAAAATATTTGTTAATCACTAGCTAACCTCGCGAACTCTATTCCACTATGTAACATTATGTTATCTGTGGTTCCGCCTCAGTTTTCTGAAGTTTAGTAAAGCAATAAACTTCTAGAAGAATTAATAAATGATACGATAACGAGTGGTAGATAAAAAACAAATTGTTATGACTATTCAAAAGTGCTTAAATTAAGTTTATTTGAATAAAAAAAAAAAAGATAATAATGTTTTTGTAGAAAATATCTAACTTAAAATTCATGGCGCTGATAATGTTATCTGATTGAACAGAGATTGAGTGAGCAGTGCTTTCTATGTTGATTGTCGCATGCCTAATCCTTGTTAGTTAAAACGATATCTATTTAAAAGAGCAACACACAAGTTTCTTGCTCATTCTTCTTGTGATGAGTCTACATTCCGAATGAGCGGTAGAATACAAAAAACTATTCAAACGTGCTTATATTAAGTTTATTTGAATAAAGATTATTTCTATTTCTGAACGTACCCTGTTAGACAGGTACTAACAGTTTTTATGGGAAAATAAAATTGTTGTTTTTACTATTTTCTATTCAATTTCTTTATATTTTACCACCGTTTATACCTTCCCTGGACTTCCACGAATATTTCAACAATAAAATTAGCCAAATCGGTTCAGCCGTTCGCGAGTTTTAGCGAGACTAACGATCAGCAATTTATATATATATATATATAGCATAGCAGAGAATATACTCGCATTAAGGACTTGTTCAAGCATTTGACATTTTGAACGAGTTTGACATCTTCTAATTAATGTTTCCCATTTTGAAAGATTTTGTGTGAATATATAAATCTAAATGGTGTACAAATATAATTTATGTAACCAGTCAAGGTGTCACTTCATGGCTAACTTCCTCTCTGGTCTTCATTAGTTCAATATATAAACTATACTTGCTAATATGTGATTAGCAAACATAATTAATAATTAATTTATATATATACATATATATATATATGTATATAGTATATGCTGTTCATTAGTCTCGCTAAAACTCGAGAACAGCTGAACCTATTTGGCTAATTTTAGTCTTGAAATATTCGTGAAAGTCCAGGGAATGTTTAAACGGTGATAAAATATGAAGAAATTGCATGTAAAATAGAAAAAACAACAATTTTATTTTTCCATACAAATTGCTGATACCTGTCAAAACACCTTTAAAAAAAGTCCCGTCAAAATCGGTCCAGCATTTCAGAGATTAGCCAACACAAACAGACAGACAGGCAGACAGACAAAAATTTTATAATATGTTATTTTGGTGTATGTACCGTATTTATATTCATATGCACGTAGTAAAAAACGGTTATTTCAATTTTACAAACAGACACTCCGATTTTATTTATATGTATAGATTGTTATCACTTTGTCATGCCAATTTTTGTAACAAGCTCACCTGTCGCATATTTATAGCCATATCCACAGTATTCTTCCGTTACATTCTTATTTTTACATATTTTATTTTTAGTTGCAATCGTATTCTCCAAAATATGGTAAATACCTAATTGGAGCGCAACATTTGCAATCACTGAGCATCGTTGAGAAATGAAGATTAGTTATAGATTGGGCAAATTTGTTTTTATTATCGATCCAAGATGGCCGTGGGATCATTGTATAGGGTTGTCACTTTTAAACATTTTTATTTTACAAATAAATACAAATATAGTAATCCTATTATTAGCAATCAATCCAAGATGGCCGTGGGATGGTTTTATAGGGCTGTCACTTTTAGACTTTTTTTTCATAAATAGTTACAAATACTTATTATTTGTATTAGTACATAGTTTTTATAGAATTGTTCATGTTTTATACTTGCAAGCTGAATTAGAATCGGATAAATTGTTGGTGTCATTTGTTATTCAGATATATATTAATATCTATACGTATGTAGGTATATATAATGAATGTATAAAATTTAAAATAGTATGTATCTTAATATTATTTTTAACAAAAAAAGTGTCTGTAATATTGTAAATGTTACTTTGAGATGATAGAATTCTGTCTGCCCGCCAATAACAAACAGACAGACAGAACAGTGACTCGGACAAAAAGTCATTATACGTGCATCTCGCGAACATAACGAACGCATTGTGTACGTGTTTATTATAAAAAAATAAGTTTTTCTTTTTTTATTCATTTAGGCACTTTTTTTCCATTATTAGAACTAACTATTCGATTGATTAAAATACTTTTATGAATATTAATTTATATTCAGTATATATGTTATTTATTGATTCATTGATCATACGTGTGGATATGCCACTTAATTTTAATATGCTGTTGATATTTTAATTGTCTGTCTCTATTGACAACCCTAACGCAAAATGAAGATCATACTATAGATAATGCCTTTCATTTTATAATATATATGGAAATAGTTACGTGTGTATATATGTGTACATTGTATAAGAATTTATATTTAAAATTTTTCTTTATAATAATTTATTACAAATGTAATTTAAAACTATATTACTTTAGTAAACGCAGAAACATTTAGTTTTTTTTTTAATACATCAGTTTTCTATAGCAAAGCACTTCATCTATACATATAAATAAAATTGAAATGTCTGTTTGTAATAACCGCTTTTACTACATGCATATCAATATAAATACCAAAAAACCACATTTCACAATTTTTGTCTATCTGTCTGTCGCATGTCGGTCTGTTTGTTCCGGCTAATCTCTGAAATGGCTGGACCGATTTCGACGGAACTTTTATTAGCAGGTAGCTGATGTAATAAGGAGTAACTTAGGCTACTTTTATTTTAGAAATATGAAGTTAAATTCCGCGTCCACGCAGAAGAAGTCGCGGGAACAGCTA